CGTGTGCGTGTGTGTATGCGTGGTGGGATTGAAGCAGAAGTGCCTCAAATGAGGCCCGTTCAAGTCTAATTTTGCTTTGCACCACAATTAGCCTCTCTTACGTCACCTGTATTTTGTGCCTCATGTTAATCTGCATTCATCATATTTCCTGTCAATCGTGTGGTCATCTCAACTCATCAACCAGGTGATCCGTAGTCTTCGCCCACCTATTGAAGTACCAAAGGCATCCATGTTATCTAAGGGACAGATGTGGTGGCAGGAGTCGAGTGAAATAGGTGAACAAGGGAGAGAGCAGACGGATTTTACGGAGCAAGAGAGAGATTGTGATAAGACTAGGAAAGAGTACTGCATAATAATAAAGCAGACTCTGATCAACATTCCCTGCACAAGGATGAAAGGGGGGGAAAACGACAGTTGGAGTGTGAAGGTTTTATGTCGCTCAAAGGAGCACACCACACTATATCTAAATAAACACGGTAAAAATTGTAATAGTGAAGGTATGATATGATGATATCGGAAACGCGAATAACCCAGGGCAAAAGGGGAGATACCACAATTTTTTAGCACAAGTTTGGTCATAGGATCGGCTTCACTTGTCCCTTTGACGAGTTGTTGTGTGGTGCTAAGAATGGCGATGCTCACTGACGATGCCGGCGAAACGTTTAGGAATGTACCACGTTCACGGTTCAACTTTGTAAATGATCATGCAGACAATGGACTTCGGACTAGGTGCGTTGCTATATGTCTTCCTACCAATATGACTATGTTGCGAAAACAAGGTCAAACAACCTCTATTTAAGGGAAGTTTACAGCGAAATAACCCACTAAACGAAATATTAAAGATAAGGTTCCGTGATTTACATTTAAATGATGATAAAACATGCACAATCTGATCCAATCTCACATTGCATGAATAAATTATTGATATAAGTAGTTTGCGATGCTATCATTAATTATTGAAAAAGGCTTAGTCTCCCTCAGTCGCTTAAGGGGATAAGTGAGATTTCCCACAATACAAATGTGAACCTTCTTTGCAATACGGCAACCCCAAAGTCGCGCCGTCTGGTTGGTAATGCTTTCGTCTTCTGACACATTTCCTGGCCTTGACTCCCGCTGGATTAGAGGTCGGAGGATAAAACGAACTGAGCTCATGGCCAACTCGGAACGATAGCCGACTTGTGAGTTCCAGATTGAGAACAAGTTCTTTAGAAAAAGTCTGGACTCACCAAAAATTCGCACGAAGTTGTGAGGCCACAGCTTTATTCATGCAATATTCACTCATGTATGAACTTGGCGATCCCTTATCGCATAAGCTGAATTTCCCCACAATGCTATGAGTTGGCGTCATGATTTCCTTAAAGGAATCCCCATCCAGACATTGTCCCACTGCCTCACCAGCACCACAATCGGGAAACTGAATTGATTTATTTGCCTCGGGGCGACATGTCACCACTCCGATTCGCAATCATGTCAGCTTCATTTTGACACTGACCTTCTTCACTCCATGTCCCCGATTGACGCCAGCCTTCCACGCCGATCAAACCCACAGAAAGATCATCAATGTGGACGTGTTGGTGAAGACGCAAGCCGGTCGCTCAAGGATCTACGATGCTGATCACATTGAGTCCCACAGCAAATGTGTCTTTCAACTCAAAATGGGCAAATATTCACGGACGCACATCTTCGCTAGGTAGTGCGTAATGCTAAAAAGCACATAACATTTTTCACATGTATGATAAAAGTTGAGGCTGGAGTACCTTTCAACCCGTTTGGAGAGGCGACGGATGGAAGTAGACGGGGATTGCCGTGAAGCTGTGTCTGGATTTGTGCGAATCAACCCTCAGCAACGGCGGAGTCGTGAGACAGTGAGCCGTGGATTTATTAACACAAACCTACTTTCCCATCTCCAAGGCAATCATTATTCGGCTTCCGGTTATGTCAGTTTACAAATCTCATCTATTCGCCTCTTCACACGAAATGGAAGGTACTCGTGCAACGGAATTTTTTCACGTTAACTCGATAATCTACTGATATTTTGTCAGTATTAGAAACAACGTGTTAGGCTGGTTGCGCAGTTTTTCAACTTGATATCAGACCATCTCTCCTGCTAAACTTGGCAAGAATTGCCATCTGTACCCATAACAGCAAATGCAATGAAAGTCATGAGACCTCGATACTAACGAGATCGCAGCCAACTTTTGATATCCAATAAAAAACAAGTTATCTGGTAACGACACAACTCCATCTTTCATTTCATTATTAAAAGTTGGTCATTCGAAAATGCTACGATTGCTTGTCCTCCACCGAGTCCCGTCTTGGGGCAATAGCCTAACCCTAGACTCAGTAAGATCGGGCAACCGATGCTGTATGGATCGGTCAAGTTGGATGAGCTCTCGTGATGCACTCAACTAAACGTTCCCCTCCACAGTGTCCACGAGACAAATTGTGATGCCGTCTAATCCAACTTGTTAATGGATGCGGGCTAGATTAATTTATTCAATTGGTTTTATAGGCTATAACATTCACCAAATGACCTATTTTTATCTGCAGTCTATGCTGAACAATAAAGTAGAAAAGGACATATCCCACGAGAGCTGGAACTGTGAAATCAAGATAACAGGGCTGGGAAGACAAGAACTTCTGGGGCAGCCATCGTCGTTCTGCCGGGAAATAGCGTGTATATTTCTGCCAGTTTCCTGTGATTCAAGAGAATAAGTGCCATACCAAGCCCAGTTCTGGCCCGCATAACAACCTACCCCCTCTCGTCATTGCCTCATTCGCAATACCAAGTTGAGTCCTCAGCTTTGGCAGGTAAGGACATGGACTAGTAACATTCCTTCATGATAATAATGATGATTCAGTTGGGCTAAAAAAGACACCACGAACAAAACAGAAATAATAGTTGATGAGCATGCACACGGCTTCAACTTGCATAATGAAATAGGCCTTCATCTGGACAAATTGACCCGCTAATAGTCATGAAAAAGATTTTGATGGCTTTCAGTCTTCTCAGGGGGCGGTTAGATAACGTTTTGCTGCATTGTGTGCGCGCACAAAGGCCACCCTCAAGTGAACGGTCGGGAGGCGGCATTGGAGCAAAGAGGAGGGAAGAAGAATCACGATAAATTTGGACGATATCGAGTCGGCCCGGACCATCTGGCCGCCAAACGTATAGCACAAGTGTTTCGGGAACTGGACTGTGTCGACCCCGACATGACCGGAAAAGACGATAATGATGGAGCCGAGAGGCAGAAATGGGAATATAACATGCAAAACCCTGTCCAGACCACACATACACCACTGGATCGCTGGCCCATGCATGATACACTTTGCAAAGCTGGCCCTTGGCTGTCTCATCTGGCCGAAGTCGGGATACTCCGAAACCCATGAACTGTATAATAACCGTGGCAATAAATTAGCGAAATCTCTGACTATTCAGCCCTTGGGGCTGTCCAGAACAGCAAATAAACTATCCGTCCTCACGTCCCCTCAAATGATATGAGGTTTTTTTACTAACTGATTCGAGACCTACCCAATTTGGCTACCATTTCTAAGAGCAAATATAGCCTCGCACTATCGGCACCAGTCCCACTAGAAAAGGGCGATTTGGACCACGTCTGCCCACTGACGCCTGTGGGTGTGTGGCAGGATGGTGATGCAGCCATTTTGCGTATTCAATCCGGGTTCGAATCCTGCTAGAGGGCTGATGCCATTCAGGCTAAGTAGACCCTGGTGGGATAGGAAAAAGGTTTTGGGAGACGAGGCCGAGTGAAATGCAATTTGCCGCTTGCGTTGTATGAAGTTCACCTCGAGTTCGAGGACTGACGAAATCCCAATGACAGTCGGTAACAATCGGCTAAACCAGTAATTCACAAACTGTGTAAGAAAATGTGTGGTGATTTGTAGGCTCATCCATCACAGTAATTATTAAATATTAATTTAATGTTGATAAAGTAAAAAAATAATGGAGATACACGAGTTTTATTATTTTCTATCCCTTACTTACGAATAGTCATACTTAGGGTAAGGCGCCATGGAAAAATTTTAATTGAAAAAGGGCGCCGCGA